TACCTTCCGATGAGTGAGAACTCGCCCACGACGCCCAGGCGCCGCATGGCACTCAGGAGGCCTCGCACCGTCATGCCTTCGCAGAAGCACACCACCACTCTGGCCTTGGGGAGCCGCTCTCGGAGCTTGCGCAGGAGTCGGTCAAAGCTCTTCTCGCCCGCATTGCTGTAGATTTTGTCCGAATGCGCAATGCAGAGGCCTTCCTGGGCTGCCAGCTCTTTGAAAGCGTCCATTCCACTCTCCCCATAATTCCCTGTCCAGAAACAATCAGCAGATGTTCAAGACAACCGGGCAGCAGCAACACTCACAACGTGAATAAGGACTCATTCATCACGGAATGGAGAGGACGGACTTGCCAAATAATTTGTAAATATAACTGGGCCTGATGGAAGATCTGGATGGATCAACAACAGCAATCAAATGTAATCCAATGATCAACTCTGTGAAAATAATGAGAAACTATCGAACTAGCACGTCCATGGTGAAACAAATTTTGAGAAATGAAGGACCGCTGCCCTATTTTACAACCATGATAAATAGTGGCTGTCCCAAATTTTAGCAACGTGGGAGAAATCAGCACACTGGGGTAGGAGGTCAACCAGGACAATGAGAAGGCCTGTTCATTTGAGGGTTGGCTTCAGTTGGCTGCCTGGTTAAGAGACAGACACTCGTGGTGATAGCAAGCCCAGCCTCATTTCCATGAAGAGTGAGTTAGCAAGGCAAATGGAATACCTGGTCAGGCCCGAATAAGCAGACAAGAAACGGGTACATGGCTTAGTCAAAATCCAGCATCCTCTGATGAAGTGATGAGATTATGGGAGATTTCACTTTATGTTTTCATTTTTATTTTAGTATCATTCTTATAATAAAATACACTTTAAAAAATGAAGACCTCATAGAAATCAGTGAAGTAAAACAAATACCACATTGTGCCAGTTCTCTCTCTCTCTATTTCACTGATGACTTTAGCTCCTATTTTATTTTATTTTTATTCATTTTTTTTAAATTGGGGAGTTGGGGAAGGGGAACAGTGTTGGGGAATGGGGGAAGGGGACCAGCCAAGTTGTTGTTCTTCAATCTAAGTTGTGGAGGGCGCCAGTCGCCATCTGGCTGCCCGTTGGCAGCTTGTGGCCTCTAAGCTCAAGGTGCTGTATTCAATCTTCGTTGTGGGTGGGTGTAGCACCATCCCATGTGGAAGTCGAACCAGCAGCCTTGTTGTTAAGAATGCACGCTCTATCCACCGAGCCGTCTGGGTGGCAGCTCAGTTCAAGGTGCCAAGTTCAGTCTTAGTTGCGGGCAGTGTAGCCCACCATCAAACAGGCCGTCTTGTTAGGAGCACATGCTCTCACCCACTGAGCCATCCTGTCTCCTGTTGGCAGCATCAATGGCCCATGTGGGAATTGAACCAGCGGCCCTGTTGCTCAGAGCCTGCGCTCTTTAGCTAACTCCTAACTAACTGAGTCACTCCGCCAGCCCAAGCCCCTATTTTATTTTAGTGTCCTCTATATCTCTACCCCTTTCCCCAATTTAGGGGATTTTGATACCCATACAGATGATTGAATACTATGCCCCCACAGCTTCTCAGCTCCCTCCATCCAATGATATTGCCTGTAATCCACCTAATTCTATAGTCACACTTTTGATTTTATTATCACAAGGGTTGTGAACATCTCTGAATGTGGATGTCAAACATCTCAGTCTCTGTTTCTCCCCTCTTGTCTTTCAAGCTCATATATTCTACTACCCATACTGCAGCATTCACCCAACCTCACAGAAACCTCAAATCTATTTACCTCCCTATTTTTCTTTCCATCCTCCCTCTCAATTGCCTCTAAGCCCAGCTTAGATCTTATAGCCTATCTTCATAATCATTCCCTTGAATATTCTTTAACTCTCTTATGTTTTCCTGACAAAATCCTACTGCTAGTTAAACCCACCATTCCCCTATTCCATGTTTACACCTGAGCACCTAAACATAGCTGGAAAAAAGTCACACAACCTTGATGACTGATTTTATTTCAAATTCATGAGCATACATATGAAAAGGGGCACTTAACAGTGCAAGGAGATTATACCACATCTCCCCAGTAAATAAATATTCCTAGTCTCTAACATGATTATTTTTTTTTTTTAGCTGAGCCATCCTGCCACCTGTTGGCAGCTCAGCAGCAGCTCAGCTCGGGCCGGGCATTGAACCGCTGTTACTCAGAGCTCGCACTCTTGAGCGAGCTCTTAACCAACTGAGCCACTTGGCCAGCCCTAACATGATTACTTTTATACCTACTCTTCTCTCTTCAAATCTCCAAACTACTGACCCCACCCCTGAACCCCATCTCAACTGGGATCTTCATTTCATTCAATAAGAACGCAGAAACAACCAGACAAAAAGTATTTCAGCCACAACATCTATGAAGCTTTCTTCATTGGCACTCGTATTCTCTGGCATCCCTCCTATTGTAAATTTGAAGTGTTTCTGCTTCAGGATACAGCCAACTGGTGCTCATGAAAACGAGGGCACTTTTTATCTATTCAAGGACTTTCTCCTGCAGTTGTCCCTTCTCTTTTGTAAAATCTATTTCTCCCTTCTAATGGTGGCAATGAAAAACATAACAAAACAAAACCAAGAAACCCTCTTGAACTCTGTTCTACTTGAGTCACTACCTCATTTCATTCACTGCTCCTGTTCCCAGCAATAATAGTTATCTGGGTCAATGTGTTCACTTCATCATCACCCATTCTCTCCTTTACCACTCATCTCCTCATTTCTATCACGTCAGCATCTCCTCAAACTCTTCCCTGTCAAGGTCACCAATTATTTCCCTGTTGCCATATTTCATGATCTGTTCTCTGGCTCCTTCAGCTGAATTCAACAGCTGGCCACGCCCTCCTTGAAACACTTTATCCTCTCGGTTTCTGGGACACAGCCCTCTCAGGGTTCCCTTCCAACTCACTGACGACTCCTAAAAGTGTTTGCTAGATATTCTTTCTCTGCTCAGCTTCTAAATATTGTCACGCTAGGACGCGGTCCTGGGAAACTTTCTCTTTTTCATCTATAGTCTCACAAATCAGTCATTCACATTCTTTCAAATGCTGTTTCAATACCATGGCTAAATCCTAAATATAGATCTTCAGACTGGACTGCCCTTTGGAACAAAAGATTAGTACATTCAAGCACCTACTTGACGTACCCACTTATAGACATCTTAAACTTAACATATCTGAAATAGAATTTTCTTTCCTCTCTACCTCCCAAACCTGCTTTTTAGTGCCATTACTCACTAAATTGTTCAATAACAAAATTTAGGAAATGTTTCGATTTCTATCTTTCTCTTCTGTGGATCCATTTCTGTGGACTCTATCTCTAAAATGTCCCTCATCCAGTCTCTATTTTTTGTTTCAATCTCTGCTCCCTTAAATCAAGTGTGTTAGGTCAGGTTCCCTAAAAGCAGAGCTGAGATGAAAATTCTTGTTCAAGTTATTTATTGAGGAGGAGAGGAGAGAGAGAATTAGGGTATGACAGGAGGGGGATTCCAAGTAGGATTATCATCTCAGCTAGAGATTAACTTCAGTCTGATTCCATAGGGAATTAAGCACAAATTAATAATATTTGGTGTTGGCAAGACACAAATATATTCACTTTTGATGATAGCAGTTCAAATTTTAGGTGGACAACTTGGAAGCAGTTTTCAACAATTCTCTAGGTAAATATCACATAAAAACAGCAATAGTTAAGTCAAAATAATTTTAAAAGAATGATGTTATCAAAAAAAAACATAGGACTTAAATTTCAGGATCTACAAAGTTTTATGGGCATAGTAATAAAACCTAATAAGATTTCCTTTATTTTTGAAAAGAAAGCTTTCTTGTTTCCTTTTTTATAAGATTAATTATCACTGAATGTATTTGCCTTTTAATACAACCACCTTTACGTGGCCTAATACAGTCCAAAAGGAAGCATTAACACATCACAAACTCTGCAGCTCCATGGACTGTGGAAACACATCAAGGCTCAGACAAGAGGCATTGACTGATTACAAGGGAGAAAACTGCAGCTGGCAAGTAAATGCCTCATCTGTCTGCAGGGGAGGGCATAAGGAAGGAAGTCAGATGCCTCTTTCTCACCATAAATACAGGTTCAGGAATCTACAAGGTATAGGGACACCACCAGCCAACTCTCCCAGCAGAAGGCACTGTCAGTCTGACATAAGATGGCGTTACAAGGGAAATAACTTACTGCTAAGGTGCCACCCTTAGACTTCAATCACAGAAAACTATTTTACTCCTTTTATCAAAACACATGCAGAATAAATGAGCAAGACTATTTGATGCAGTCAAAAAAGAAAATTCTCATTTTAAAAATCTAGGGAAGGCCTTAGACATATTCTGTCCAAACCCCTCAGGTTCCCAACCAGGAAATTGAGCCACAGAGAAGAGAAATAGCTCACCAATGGGCATGAGGCTTGTTTGTGTTAGAACTGGAACAGTTCTACATTACTTGACTCCTAGGTTACTATTCATTTCTCTTAATAGCAAAAACAAAAACAAAAACAAACAAAAAACAAAAAACAATCAAACATGTATATTTTCGTAATCTAAAAAAAGTGTTTGCATAGGTCAACAGGTCCCATGAAATATTTGTCCCAATTTCTTTATTATATTTTCGTGTTCAAGAGCAATTTTTGTTACTCAAATTGATAGAGAGCCGAGTCCCATATATTGGATCATGTGTAAATAATCCATTTCTCTCATGACCCCTAAAAGACCCCAAATGAATTAATGTATAAATTTCCTTGATGGTAGCCCTAATAAAGGAAGAACAACCATGATGACTATACTTTTATAAATCTTTATACTTTAAAAATTGCACTCAAAAACATTATCTTATCTGACTCCTACAACAACTGTATTGTACTCATTATATTGATAATGGTACTAGATATAGAGGCCATACAAACTGGGAAGAGATTTGCCTCCAGGAAGCTTAAAATCATGTTTCTTTCACTTAGTAGCAGCAGAACTAATGACATGACCAGGACTAGCATAAGAAGTGCTAGGGGTTAGGAATCAGGAAAAGCTTCCTATAGAAAGTTCCACTTGTCAGTGAGGATTTGGAGAAAAGGGGACCCTTGTGCACTGTTGGTGGGAATGCATATTGGTATAGCCACTATGGAAAACATTATGAAGTTCTTCAAAAATGTAAAAATGGAACTATCATTGGATCTAGAAATCTCACTACTAGGTATATACCCAAAG